AAAGTTGGAATGAATTTTTAATGAAAAAATCTTAGTAGGCTTTGCAATCTTTGTCAGAAATATTTTTGACGTTTAAATGTCAGTGGTTTTCTTACTATTATTATTGTTTTTCAAATTAATTTATGAATAAAGTTCTACCGCATTTACGCTCGTTCACTCGACGTTTCAAAATTTTAAATAAAACAATAATAATAGTAAGAAAACCACTGACATTTAAACGTCAAAAATATTTCTGACAAAGATTGCTAAGCCTGCTAAGATTTTTCTTTTAAAATTCATTCCAACTTTCGATTAACAACGCTACAGCTTAACAGTTAGTGTTTGCTTAATTAATTTTTTTCTCAGAAACTATTAACTTTTCGAAGAACATCAGAGAGGCAAAAAAGTTTTAGAATATCTTCGTCTATCTAAATAAAATATTTCCAATGTATTTATCATCGTCATAAAAAAGATCTAGACAAAAATTGAACGGGGGTGGTTATGTTTAATAACTTAGAAGGGAAGATTGAAAGTACAATTAGGCTCGAAACATGCCCTATTATAAGCTAAACATATTTCCCAAATTTCATTTTCTTGGTGTTAATGGTTTTCGGGAAAAAAAAAATAAACCAAAATTTTTCACCATTTTTGAAGGGGCGTAGCTCCGCAGGGGAGTCGAAATCGCTGATAGTTTATATGAGAAAGTACCCTTAAAATTGCCTAAAGAATCACCCCCTGAAGTTTGGGCACGTCATTCAGATACACTCTGTATAAAACATTAAATTTTACACTAGACGTGTACTTTTCCTTCGGGTACTTCGTAGGCACCGCACTATTTTGCTCGGGATTACTCGTCGGTACCACGTGATCAACATGTGGTGTGATACAAGCTAAAATTTAACGGTCATCTACTAAACGAGTCGGAACTCGATATTGTTTCGAGACCTGATTTACGCGATATAGAAAGAAAGAACGATTATTTTTATTTTAATTATGTTTAGTGGAACTTCCGGAAGATTTTACATACAAGTTCCTTGTGAAGATTGGTAAGTATGTGCAACTTGGTGCAACTATACATATAGGAAACTTATAGAAGACTCATTAGATGCAGTTTTGATGGTGACTCGGTGGAAACTTTAAAATGAAATAAGTATTATATATGTTATATATGTATATAAACAGAATTTAATTTTTTTAAATTTAAATTATAACAATATATTACAAGTAAAAATAAAAACAAATATTTTATAATTTTGATTATTATCGTAACGTAAAACTTCCCTAAAAATACTCCACTTCCTATTAAAAATTAACACTAATAAGTGGAAGATACACACTATTTAGTGATATTTTGTCAATTAATAGAGTAAAATTAGAGCGAATTTTTAATAATTTACATTGATTAGATTAGAAATGTATCTAATTAGAGTCACGACAACATCTAGTTAGATTACATATAATACACTGTTATAGAGTAACGATTTTACACTATTTAATAAACACCATCTTCTCACTATTTAGTGTAAATTTTTAATCTATTCACCTACACTATATAGTGCAAAAAAATAACTCTAAATAAATTGGACCGATCTGAACCATGTTTTAGAGGTGATTTTTACTCTATATTTTTTCCTGTGTAGCATACAATTTGGTGGTGAATCAAAACAAATCTAACTCATTTAGTCAATATGGTACTTGGTGATATTTCGACAATCAACTAAAGAAGTACTATATTCTAAAAGCCTTGGTTGCGGTATATCCAAAGATTTTTACCTTTTTTTATCCACTATTCTTTCTATAAGTCGATCACACAAGGTTGACGGTTGAGAATTGCTGCTTTCTAGAACATAGTGACAATTGCTTAAATTGCTAATAACTCTGATTATTTCGTTATCTTCTCAATAATGATCCCAATATCACAATGAGAAAGCCGCGTTCAAGAGGTCAAAGGGCGGTATGTGACTATCAAAGCGCGATTTCCTGACCATTGATTTGAATGATTCAGAGAACTATTAGAATTGATCAGCTGACAATTAATAGGTGTTTTAGTGGATCAGTAGTGAATGGAGGAACGTGTCTGGTAGAAAATTTTGGGCAAATGATCGAAATCTAAGATTATTCGAATAATACCTACTAATCCTAAATACGTAGTTTTAATTTTAGCTGAATTAGTTGTTTTAAAATGTAAGGTATATAAGAAGGTTGGAAAGCAATGGTGGAAGTTTAGCATAACTGGAGAGAAATACAGTCCGCTTCGGGAACTACTTGCATTACCGGAACTGCTATACAACTATTATTGCGATGTACGTCGACAGTAAGTTATACTAATCATCATTACTGCCAGCATCGCACTCGCTTGTTTGCAGAATACGGAGTCAGCGCAAACAAGGACAGTTTCCATTGGCGATAGTGCGCGGCAAACAAATAAATTTCCAGAAACTCCTATCTAAGCGATTGCATACGTTATGATGCAGAGCGCAATATTTACCGTAACAACAAAATTGTAGCTTATTCTAGTATATGCAAAATAAGTAAATAAATCAAAATTGTCTTTTAAAAACGATGTTATTTGATTTTGTTTAATTGATGATTAAAAAAATTTTTAAACATATAATTCTTTAATTAGAAAAAGGTGTGTGCAATTTTGTTTCCTTTACTAAGTTAGAATCAAATGACGTAATAAAATTGGAACCTTTAAATGTTTTTCCGATTTTATCACTCTTTATATTACGTGTTCTTTCGCGAACTGCGTATACAACAAGCTCTGCGTGAGCAATTGCCATTGTTCCACATCCATTATTCTTTCAAACGGGGCAATAAATCGTCCCCATAATAACAACTTGTGCTTTATTAAACAGGACATTGCGCGTTTATATTAGTTTCTATGACGGTGGCCTTACCACGATGAACAAAGCTTGCAGAAATTACCTTATATTTTTAACATTATCAGTATTGTTCCCTCCAAATTTATCACAAACATCTAATCATATAGAAATACTGGGTTAGTTCTGATAAACAATATTGAAAATAAATTAATTAAATTTATCATAAATTAATTAGAATGTGGAATTTCGAAAGAAGATAGTGAAGCCATAGTAAATGGTCATAATGAGTATCGAAAACTTATAGCAAAAGGAAAAGTTTTGGGTCAACCACGAGGTATTAATTTGAAAAAAATGGTAAGGTATTTTGTATTTTAAAATAAAATTTGATTATAGTTTAATTTTACAGCAATGGGATCAGCATTTGGCTGATGAAGCAGATAAAATAGCCAAATTAGCAACTTTTGCGCATAAGAAAGTTTTCGATGGTGAGATTCATTTAATTAGTCCCTTCTTAAGTAGTAGCCTTTTCAAATATACAAAATAAACCCTATAAACTAAATTCCTAAGTAGATTCAACACCAGCTAGTGTTCATGGTCCGTAATACACACAGTAATTGAGCGGTGAAAACGTGCCGTGAAACACAATTAGTAGTGTTCAGAATTTCAAGTATGGTATCCGTATTCACTTTACAGGTAGTAAAACATGGGTTTATATAGCAAACAAATTTTTTTTTAAATACCGTTTATTGTTATTCTGCAACGATTTTTGGCACGACTGGAATTTCATGCTGTATGAATTGAATACAGCAATTTATTTACAAAAAAATCAGACCATTTTAAACTATTTATACGTTCGATGAACATTTTTGTAATGCCGCAATTCGAGAATTGAAATTCCAAAAGTGTAATTTCGACAAAAAAAAACTTAAAAAAACTAATCAAATTTGAAGTTACTTACGATAAACATTATTGTGATTTTTAACACCAAATTCCACACGTTTATTAAGTCCAATTTGAAACTATATCATTCAAACCAAAATGAATGAACAAAATCGAAAAAAAAATCGGAATTCGAAACTATTTATTCGATTGATTGAAAATTTTTCTAATAACGTCGATTCGAGAGTTGCAATTCCGAAAAGTTCGTAATGTGCGTTCGCTGGTTGAAAATCAAATTGTAAATTCTTGTCGGCGATCTGCAACCGAAAGCGTCCAAACTCTTTCAATTTTGCAAGCGTTTCCAGTGGACACATAGAAAGGAATGTTTTGTGTTTTGAAGGTACTCAGTGAATACGAACATTTAATTCAAATTTAAAATTTCTTTTAATAAGTTAGTTAGTTATTAGGATATGTATGAATGAAAGTTCAATTTAATTTGATCGATAAATAGATTACATATGTAAATTACTGAAAGCAACTGAGAAATTAATATCTTAGTTATATATAATATATAATAGTTAACATGGCTGCATTATATGATAAACCTAATCATTGGTCATTTTACCCTACTAAAAACAGACTAAAAACAATGTCTGGGTACCAACCTGCCCTTAAGTCAACCTATTTTTAAAAGATTGTTTACGATGGCGTTCAACTATTATGCGATTCCTCTCTGATTTATATTTTTAAATCCCCCGCTATGTCTTGGTGGTCTCATCTAATGACCTCTTCTATTTCATCGCCAATCAAAGTTTAAAAGTATTCATGTTGTATTGTGTTCTAGCTCCGTAACTGTGATTTGGTCTCTAAGAACTATGCCAATTTTGCTGACAAAGATATTCTTGTTCTTAACATTTCGGTTTAGATCAATCAAAACATTTCTGCCTTTACTTTACAATTTTTAGTTAATCTCTTTCTCAATTCTATTTTGAACCGTCTTGCACATTCCAACCATTTCAAGCGTCTTTTCAAGCTCCAATCATCCATGTTCTATATCTACTTAAATAGAAGCTTCAGTGATATTTGCTACAATTTGTTCATAAAGTTCTTGCGAAAGGTATTGTAATCTGAAGAGTCAGACGTATGATCATCAAATTCTGGAATACATCAGAAATCGTAAAACCTGGAAATTATAATATCTTCTTTACTACTGAGGATACCTTATTTTACTCTTAAAATTAAGGCGGTCAATCTTTATGTTTGAACTCAGCTAAAATACCTGTCTGAAAGGCACACCATGTATCACTTTCCATTTTCTGAACCTCTTTAATCATTTTCTTTCAGCTTATTCTGGTAAAAATTGCGAAAAGAGCGAAAATCATCACTCATATACACCATTCCCACAACTCGCACTTCAACCCTTTCAATGAACGTCTCTATGATCTTATAAAAATTTTTCCTTTCATATTCCGTCTACCATCTTCACTTTAAACTGTGGAGGCAATTTTGTTTCATTCCACATACTTTTTGTGGTAAATTGTTGATTAAAAATTTTAATATTTTTTAGAGCGTTGGTTATATGTTGGACAAAACTTACATATGCACTCAAGTAGCAAAAACTCTACTGGAACAAATTGGGAAAGATGTTTAGCTTCTTGGTTTGTTGAACATAAACAATATAATTATGGCCCGATAATTCTTCGTGATAAAACCGGTCACTACACACAAGTATATTATTAAATATTTTTCTCTTTACTTATTTTATTTCTATCGTATCTAATTATAGATGGTTTGGGCTAATACTGAATACGTAGGTTGCGGATTTTGTTTTTTCAAAAACGACAGCAAGACCTCGATGCCATTTCACAAACTGTACGTCTGCAATTACGGCCCAGCGTAAGTAGATTTCGATGTAACTATTGAGCCTATGTCAGTTAGTTTTAGTGGAAACTTCATTGGTCAAGTTCCGTACGAAACAGGATCAGAGGGATGTGAAGAATTATGTTAAAGCTTATTATCATTAATTAAACAACTAAATATAAATAAAGTATCTTTGAAATCGTTTTTCGCTAATAAAAAAGGTGTTGTAAATGTATAGATATTTGAATAAATAAATCTTTTAGAATTTATGTGGAGGTTTAGTTTATCTCTCAAATGGTGGTTATAATTCTTTGTGCTCGAAAACATTACCAACAACGGATTTATACGGAACATTTTAGAAACTATTTCTTTCAAGATAATGTCCACTCTTATAATTAATTCAAATCAATATAATTCAGTGTATTTTAAATTAATTATTGACATTAATTTTAAATGAGTTGCACTCATTAGTACACAAAAAGAATATCTGTAGTAAAATCGTACCCTTTACTGGGAACCTCACCAGGTTTCGTTGAAAGCATTCTTATACTTAATAAATAATTCACATCTTAAAGGCTGAGAGAACTGTATCTGTACAAAGTGGGAGGTCGGTTTTACCAGAAAATTCAACAATACTCTTTCTTGTGGTATCTCGAAGTGCTTCACTATAAATATTTTATTTTCTAAATTTATTTTCTCGGTCAATTCATTAAGTTAAATCCCAAATTTAACATGAATAAGATATTATATTTAAAGTTTTGTATCGAAAATTCCCGGGAAATCGTTGTGTCGAAATCCAAAATAAAAATTAAATATCACGAAACAAAACATTTTTAAATATTTGAATACGGTATGGAGATTTTAATAAATAAACAACAAACGTATGACGCTTCAAAGTTATATGGTCAACTAAAATAAAATTTTACTACTGATAAATATTGGAGTGTTAGAAATAAATTCAATATAAAATAAAATGGTTACAAGCTGAAAAATTTGTGATTATGTTTTTGATGTATTTGGGACTTGAATTCATCACGGACCAATTAACATCGTTATATTAAAGAAAAAAATAAAATTGTGATGCTTAAATTATAGGCGAGAGATCAATTTATCGCACGGTAAATTTATCCTTATAGGTAATACAGCGCTACTAAACTTCTACAATTAAATTTAATTGATGCATTTGTATTAAACGGTGCACTTGCAGCCTTATATTGCAGACTATAATGCGAGTTGCTAGATAGAACATTCCGAACATGAACGTTCAGCGAAACCTACTTTCCGGAACCGTTGTTTGTAACATATGACAGGATTTATCAAAATATTACTTAACCACCATCAATTGAATTATTAAAAGGGATAAAGACTATTTTGAACAGTTTGTATATCAGATACATATTATGTAGTACTACGTGATTGAATTTCTGTGGATTCTAGTTTGTGTAAGCACCGGGTACATGTTAATTATATGATCAATAGCCTCATAATATTGATGGTAGCCACACAATCGCAATTACCAATGTTTTGATAGACTTCATAAAGCCTTTGATATCCACTATACATCTCAACTGATAAATTTGATAATTATATTTCAATACAATCCATCAATTGTACGAAATGAACTATGAAGTACTAAGAGAAAGATTATTTGAAGTTAAATTTCGAATTTTTTCAATAATCCATACAACTACGTGTTTGATATAGCTTCGTCGATTTCTATTTCGGGTTTCGTTTGGCAGTTAATACCGACAACTAGTTCGAACTCGTTCGCGCTCCCTTTGATGTTCCCTAAAGCTTTTGTAATGGGTCGAATCTGTTCGGAGGGGTAATTTAGCGTGCCGAAAACGTCGTGCTCTAAACGCGGCCGCCCTTTTCGGCCGAGTTTATCTCACAATCAGATGTGTACCGGGTCGAATGCTTTCACATCTCGACGCCGGTATTCAACGTTGAACAAGCTTCCCACCCTGCTCAAACCCGAAACCCTTACTTCTTCTCATTTACCCGAATGCACATGTACACACCTAACGTATTCTTATTACGGAAGTGTAGCACTGCTTTTACATTCCGGTTTCTGTTTCCTATTTTTTTTTTCACCAGTTTTAAAAGAGTTGTATAAATGAAAATTTCATTTTAAAACTGTTGGGTCCTTTTTTATTATTCAGATTTTTTCTTTTAGAATGAAAAGAAGTTGTGGCGTCTTGTTTAGCGAATTAATTAATTGTAGTCATATACGCAGAATACAACAAGTTATTGATGTAAGCTTAAAACGATAACCAGAAATTATAAACTATAAGTTCGTATAGCTGCTGACTGAAGATTGTAGATTATTGTCAGAGCATCATACACCAAACTTCTGAAAACCACAGATCCAAATAGCTACTTCATAATCATTCTTGGTAAAGTTTAGTTCACATTAAGGCGACATAATAGTTGAGAGATATTTTACTGGAATCCATTTACCCAAGATTGCTGTCTTCATTACTTCGTGACACCAAGTGAATGTACTCAGATAATCGCGAGCAGTTAGTCGCGAAAACGTGCGAGGTGTACGGTCGCATAATCGCGTCTCTTGAGTTTCTAAGTAGTGTTGTGCGATTGTTATATTTAAGGCTTCTTTTTTGTTTTTTACATTCACCCGCGGGTGCTGGTCAGCGTGGTGTTTGATTTTGTTCGGTTTTGCATTCAACATTTTTCGAAGGATTAATATATCTATTTTTACATATTCTTTCTTCCGCCGCGTTGTCGTATTCGCTCGTGTTGACCTTTGTCCTGTCGTTGGAACCGGAATCCCCGTATCGATGNGTCCGTCATTGCCGGACTCACTTCGTTCGTCCGGCAAACTGTCGGACACGCCACAATTTTAACGGCTCATCTGTCATTAGCGACTCACTGCGTTCGTCGCTAAGCAACAGACCACGCCATAAAAAGCACTGCTTCTCTTCCATATAAAACAATATACTATTACTTTATTATAAAAATAAAGGTTTAGAAGTTTTATTTATTATAAAACGAATTCAAAATCTTGACCATTCTTTTCTAAACATAAAGTGATTCTTCTTTTCATATTATCGAAGACCTGTACAGGTTGCTCTGCAGTTATTTGTTGAACATTGTGTCGTATTGCATCTTCCAATTCTTCTATGGTTTGTAAACGGTTTTTGTAGACAGAATTTTTGAAATGACCGAATAAAAAGAAATCTAGTGGGGTTAGATCGGGTGAGCGAGGTTGCCAACATCCTCTACTGATTACTCAATCATCATGAAATTCATGAAGGAATCTTTTGTTTGTTCGTGCAGTTGCATTGTCATGTTGAAAAAACCCTTCTTTCAATTCATCATCATGTAGTTATTCAATGAATTCTTGTAACAAAGCACTTTGACAACTTCCCTAATGTCATGACATAAGGTAATTCAGTACATTTTCCAGGCATGTCTCCCTAAATTCTTCTACACAAAGACTTGTTGAATATTTTCATACTCCATTTTGATCTTTTACTCTATTTCGAAGATAAGATTTGAAAAGAAACTTTGAAACTTGTCTTCTTCTAAGGTGAACGGTATGATTTAACCTAAAAATAAATCAACGAAATTTATACCAAACCGATTTAAAATAAAATAATTATTTACCTTAGAGAAAAATCACAATCGAATTTTTGTCTTAATAAAGACAGATAATATTAAATAAAACCGCAATAAATTCATAATGAAATATTGAAAACTCTAAACGCCAAAACCAAGAACACGACTCTGAGCTCAGCTGATCGAAACCATTGAACTAAAAATCGATATCACCTCGTCGACCAATAAGAACGTTGAAAATTAAAAACAAGTAGAAATGGGAGGAGGCTGTGACGAGGAAAGTAAGTATTGGTATCAAGCGCTTGGGAAAGTAGTTTTTAGCGGACCGGCTTTTTTGATCTCTCGGTATAATATACAGGGTGTATCTGAATGACATGCCCAAACTTCAGGGGGTGATTCTTTAGGCAATTTTAAGGGTACTTTGATATATAAACCATGGGCGACTTGGGTTCCCCTAAGCAGCTACACCCCTGCAAAAATGGCGGAAAATTTTGGTTTAATTTTTTTTTCTCAAAAACCATAAACGCTAGGACAACGAAATTTGGGGAATATGTTTAACTGGTAGTAGGGCACGTTTTCACCCTATTTGTACTTTAAACCTATCTTTCTAAACTACTAAACGTAACCACCCCCTTTACATTTTTGCTAAAATTTTTTTATGCAGAGGGTAAATACATAAAAAAAAAAATTACATAGATAGATGAAAGTATTCTAAAACTTTTTTGTCTCTCTAAAATTTTTCCAAAAACGACTAATTTTTGAGAAAAAAAATAATAAAGTAAACACTGCCCGTTCAACAACGGGGTTGTCGATCAAAAGTTGGAATGCATTTTTAATGAAAAAATCTTAGTAGGCTTTGCAATCTTTGTCAGAAATATTTTTGACGTTTAAATGTCAGTGGTTTTCTTACTATTATTATTGTTTTTCAAATTAATTTATGAATAAAGTTCTACCGCATTTACGCTCGTTCACTCGACGTTTCAAAATTTTAAATAAAANTATCTTCTGTATTGTAGTACAATTATATAATATTTTTCGCTTTTTTTTTGTAATTTTTTTCTAATTAGCAACTATCAATGCTGTTATTATTATTTTCATAGTTAATGTTATAATTATTGTTATTTTTTTTTTTTCTTTTCTCGTTTTTTTGCTTGGTATGTAGTTAAGTGCTTTGTTTTTATGAGGATGCTTCACTGGGGATATCCTCCCTGTTTGTGTCCCAATAATAAATAAATAATAATAATAATAATAGCTGCAGCTTGTGTATTAGAGACGCAGAATGTCTATATGCTACATATAGAATAGTCTAAGCTATGACTGCGTAATGGAAAACAAAGACAGATTACAGCTGTAAACAGCATAATGTAACTGGTAGCTATAAATGGAACATCAAACTGCAAATTAACATTTCAAAGTGCATATTGCAAGCCAGCGATGCTGATCAGCATCAGACTACACAGTGCATACAGTAAGTACAGAATGTACTTCAAAGTTATAGTTAAATGTCGTATATTCAGTAAATATCGTCCTCCCTTGTTGATGCATTGACCCTTTCCTGGAAGTTATCAGTAGTTATTGTGTTATTCCCGGCGCCTTACTGATTGCTTCCTTTACAGTAATAATCTTAAAGGATATCAAGGATGATGTTGAGGAAACCAGAGAACGATATTGGAGGATATCAAGAATGATA